AATAAGACAACCCCAAATGTTCATCTACTAAATTCAATCATATAATCAATTAGATGGTGCAACTGAGTACATTGTACGTCGATACTCCTAAGTATCAATCCCATACAAAATAAACATAAAGATATCTGAAAATTTCATCATACACCCAGGTGTACCATGAGCATGGTACACCCGGTCAGAATACAAAGGTTACTAAATAAATGCGAAAAGAACATTGCATACAAACATAAAGTACATGAGCAAAAAATATTCAAAACGATTCCCTCCTTGATTTAAGGGATTGATTTGTTATTTATACTCCTTTATTTATGAACTTGATTTATTATTTACATTTCATATTAATAGAATACTTTTGCTGAATAGAATTTCATTTCTTTGTTAAGAGAGAGAAATTGTATTTATCTAGAGAGAGAAACCATGATCAATTTTGAATTTCGAAGTGGTTTAATGTTATTATGAAGTTGATTTTATCATTTCAAATAATCTCTTAATGATGTAATTGATTAATTCATTGTTGAGAGACAGTATTTTTTTATTTTTTTTTCTCCTGTTTTCATGTTATTTTTCTGAGGTTAAAGATGATGTTCTTCGTATAATGATAAATGTTCTTTTATCATTTCTTGGATCCATATTCCATTTTTTTTTATTGATATGGATTATGTTCTTTGAGTCCGATCAATATTTTTTTGTATATGAACTATATGTTCTTTACATTGCAAACAATGTACTTTAATGTATGTAGATTAAAAAATGTTCTTTGCGTTTTAATAAAACAAATCATGTTCGTTTAACTTAGATAATATGTTCTTCTATATTAATGTTCGTTTGCTTTAACCCTTATATTATTTTGGGTATTATATTTGTTTTATCCTTGTGTACTTTTGTTTTATCCCTTATTTTTTTTGGTATGGTGTAAGAATTATTTTTGGTAGAACATAATCTTAGATAGAGAAATTCTGGAAAACTAAATATTTTGAAATGATTTGAAATTAAATACGGGGTATAAATCAATTAGTAATTATCTATTATCTTTTTAAAATCAGTTTATCAGAACTTACCATGTTTTTTTTTATATATCAATGATGCGTTCTTTTATAAATTAGTGATGTTCTTTACAGTTATCAGTTATGTTCTTTCCGCTTTAAACCGGGTGTACCATGCATGGTACACCCAGGTGTACGAACCAACGATTAAAAGATATCACCCATCCCACATATAAATATATCACCAAATAATTTAAAAAAAATAGACATGAATTTGTTTAACCAAATAAAAATTCAAAGTAGCTCATTGGGGTTTTCTTTTTTTATAAAAAAAAAAATACACAGTTACTTTTGTTTGATTTGTTGAAAATTTTAAATTTGTAAATTTTAGAATAATAAGAAAAAGGAAAAGGAAAATTTGGTATTATTAATCCCAACTTTGGGCCATTAATTAATCTTAATTTTCGATTATTTTTGAATAATTCCAACTTTGGGGGGCATATTCTTTTAATAGGCCACATGACCGGTGACCTGATGAAGGGTTTTTTTTTTTAATTTTGTTTTTAAAATGCCACATGTCTTATTATCATTGGTCAAAAAAATGTATGAAAGAAAAACAAAAAAAATTCAGATGATTAAAAAAAAAAAAAAACATACACAGCCACCCATTACCAATCCCATGCCCCCACCGGCCGGCCACCACACCGGTGCCCAAAACCCCAACTCACCTCCCTCCCTGCGCCGATTCAGATCCCCTACTCACCTCACCTCCTCCTTTCCCCTTCGTCGATGCCCAGATGTACCTCCGCCCTCCTTCTCTCCCACCCCGATCTCCCTCCCCCACTCATGAAAACCACCGATCTCCCTCATTAATTAAAATAAACCAATTTCAAATTAGTAAAAAAAGTATTATACTTGGTAAATTTCTCATAGGAATTATAAGCATCAACCAATTGACCAAGCTTGTAACACTGCAAAGATTGAAGTAATGGAACCAAAGTTTCATGTGATTGTCTGATCAACCTACTCACATCCTGTAAGAATCAATCAAAAAAATAAAACCCCCATAAATTTGTAATACAATATAAGATTAAAATTCAATTACTTGTATATTAACAATTGAATTTCTTTTATAAGCATAAACCCTAGGAAGAAGAAGAGAAAAATCTGGAAAATATTGAGAGCGTCAGAAACAGAGAGGAGTTTGGGATTGTTGGAGGAGAAAGAAAGAAGGCGACGAGTAAAGGTCCGTTTTGTGTAGCAGTGGCGTCAGAGTAGCTGTTGAGGTATTCCTATGTGGGGCGTTTGGTGGTTTTCATGAGTAGGGGAGAGAGATCGGGGTGGTTGTGTGCGACGCAATGGGTGGTGACTAGGGTGGGTGGAAGGGCAACGCTAGGGGTGGGGGAGGGCCGTCGAGGAAGGGGACTGGGACTGGGCGGGGTGGGGTGGGGGTTAGGGTGGTCCGGTGAGGGGAAGGGGAGAGGCTGGATTTTTTGTTTTTTGTTTTTTTTTTCAATTTTTTTGTTTTTTTTTTTTTTATTTTTTTATTTTTTTTTTATTTTTTTTTATTTTTTGGACCAATCAGGGCTTGACACGTGTCAAGTAACCTGTTACAATAGGTCATTGATTTTTGTTGACCGGTCATGACCTGATAGAAGAAAATGCTCCCCGAAGATGGGATTATTAAAAAATAATCGAAAGTTAGGATTAAATAAAGTAAATGGCCCGAAAAATAGATATCAATGATCAGAAATGCCCTAGCCTCCTCTTTCACTTCTCTCTCCTAAACACTAGCCTCGTTTGTTAATTTTGAAGGAGCTTCCATCGGATTTCACCGGTGGAAAGCCCCAGTCTATATTTCTTTTAAGCTTTTTATTTCTTAGGCTACAATAATGTCTCCCTCGAAAGAAAGGGTTTATCTCATTCGAAAGACAAGATTTTTTTGATCTCTTTCGAAAGACAAGGTTTTTCGATTTCCTTCGAAAGACAAGGTTTTATTTGTGTTTAATTTGATCTCCAGTTGTCCGGGACTACGATTGATTGTAATACCTGTAAATTTTGTGAATTTATAAATTTTATTTTTTCTATATAAGTTACAATTTATTTTATTATTTTATTAAATTATAAGACCTATTTAAAGTCTAGTAGGATTCTTTTTATAAGACTTATTTAAAAAAGCCCCATAACCCTAATTATATTTGGTAATATGTGCAGCTTTTAATAAATCCCTCAAATTTCTCTTCTTTTTTCTTCGTTGCTTTTCATTCATGTTTGTTTTCTCATCATCAGCACCTTGATCTTAAATACTATCTTCATATAATTTGTATTCTTTTGATAATCATATGTTAATCATCATATGTGCTCCTGTAACTCGCGTAACACACCAACCAACCATATTTTGTGGTAGCCTTATGGCGTGAGCTTCGGCCTATCTCTTGTTTGTTTCTCGCATTATCAATATAATAAGGTAATCAGACTCGTTGTTTTAGAGTTGCTTGCTTACTCTTATTATTATATGTAATCACACTATCAATCTTTCGGAATTGTTTGATTATAACTTATTGTTTGTATTGATTGTACAACTTATTATTGTGTGCCAACTATGTGCTTACGTAATTATATGTGATGGATGTGTTATTGTGTGATATTATGGAATCATATTGTATACTAGTTTTCTATAATTGTGTACTAGTATAGTATTTTTGAAAATTTGATTATTGGTATCGTATGAGGTTTTTTTTTTATATAATTACAATCTTGGAAATTTGGATGATTGATTATATGTGATTGATGGTCTCCAAGGCTTATTGGGAAACGAGTTGTAAGTTTGTAACTAGTATGTCTTGTAAAATGACTATGTTTGAATAATCCTGAAATTAAAACATTTGGGATTAAGTTGATTTTGTGCAATACTCGTGTGCAATGTGATCGGACAATTTAATCTATTAAAATGTACATTAGATCAAGAAGGGAAATGAAACCCGAAAGGGTGAAGAATAGGTTGCCCACTAGTGGTTATGGTTGCTACTAGTTGGTTTAAATTAACGTATATTGTTGTTTAGTCTTCCTCCTAATCACTGGGTATTAGTGAGAGGTGTGCACACTAGGGACATTCTGTTTAATTTATGGCCATTTGGGGTTACGCGCGACCCTCTGTGAAGTAGGTGGTGACAAGGAGTAGTCCCGGCTTACTGGCGTTCTCTTTCCCTTTCTTAACTAAAGTAATAAATTTTATGTGACAACTTAATTTTGACTTATTATTATTTGAGGTTGAGTTTGACAGGGGTTATTTTCAGAATACGGAGTTATTTTACCCTTGAGGTGTATATGTGTAATGTAGTTTCGAACTACATTGTTTTAAGTGAGTTAATTATATTAATTATTCTATTGTTCTTTGTATTTTGATCAGTGGTGATTACTCAGCTTTTTGCTGACGTGTGTTATTTTGTTGTGCTACTTGTGTTTGCGGCCATGTCTTTTTCTTATGGTGGCCCTGCGACGATCTATTTTGGAATTTGTCCTTAATGGTGAGCAGTTAAGTTTGTCTAAACAGGTTGATCAAGTGATCGTAGCTAAAGGAGCTCAAGTGTTTCGATTAGTCTGTTATAACAAGTTTGTAAAGTTGTATAAAATAGCTCACTTAGTTTATTGGGTTGTAATTTTTTGGAATTTTGTAAGCCTTAGCACTTGACAAATTGTTGAGTGTGGCGGTAATACCTCCGATTTAGGTGTATGCTTCCGCAATTTTATGCAAAGGTTGTTTATTTTTCTTTAATTCTCGTTTATTATTAGCTAGTAAATCGAGAGTGTTACATTGATTTTTGCTCGGATTCGGGTTACAAAATCCTTTCTCACAAAATTACGAAGCGGCGACGGATCTACTCAAAAAGTTGTATGAAACAACGAATTGAAAATGTGCCGAATTGTTATATTTATTTATTTGGATTTTTAGCACTTCCTTAATCAATTCTTGTTCGATTTTGCTAAATTCATTTTTATTATCGTTAATTGTCAATTGTAGATGTCGTATGACTTTAATTAATGAAATTTAGTGTCCTTTAAAAAAAAGTAAATAGCCCAAAGTTGGGATTAATAATACAAATTTTTCCTAAGAAAAACTACACTAAAATTTCTGCTTAGTATGTACTAGTACTTGAAGCGTACAAAATAATGCACTGAATTAGATTGTAACTTGTACATTTGCCATTAACATACACTTACATCAATCGGGATGCTAATTTGCTCATGGTTGAACAGCTTCCAAAAGCTTCTCATACACTTGTCTTGCAGTAAGATCTTCAACCTAATTCAAGCATTGGATTTGTTTTAAAAAAATATTAGTTTGGGAACCAAAAAATCAAGTTCCAATAACAATTCTGTGTAAGTAAAGCTTTGCAGTCCTTAGTTATCTGCTATTTCTTTAATTTTCCTCTACCCATTTGAACACTAGTACCTTAAAGAATAGTATCGTCAATTTGCATATTTTAAACCCCTTCCAACTGAAACCCATAAATAAACTAACAAATTCAAAGTTCAAGATGAATACAGAGATGAATTTTGAAGAAACCTTTATCAATATGATTTGAAGAGATGCAATTTTCTTCATTTTGGAAGTATATTCAAACACTCTAGCACATAACAAGTAGTAGCAGGGCTGATGCATTCGGCTACTAAATCTATGAACAAATGATAGCCGGGTGTTATCCTACCCCCTTACATAGACAGACATTTTCTTTGAAGTACTGAGCAGCATTCATGTTTAGCAAATTACATAGATTTAGAAACTATGAAAAATTAACAAAAAGAATGCCCAACTCAGAAACAGAACAAATTCAAATAGACTTACCACGAGGAGTTTTGATTTATTGTTCCACCCTCTCTGAAGAGTCATCTGGCTCAACCTAAGACCCAAAACCTGTTCAAGAGTGTTTGTGAGAATAATCATCATAAAGCACTTGCAAAAAAAAAATACTATCAAAATATTGTATACCTTTCCCATGAATTCCAGGAGCTCATTATTTGCTTCTCCACGTGCAGCAGGTGCTGCCACAGCTACTCTTACATCATCAGCATTAACTCCTGTAAGCAATCATTAGATTAAGCCAATTACGGTCTGATATTGTGACAGAACAAGCTATAATGATTAAAGAGAAGGAAAGAAAAAAAAAAAAAAAGAGTACACATCAATAAGCACTTAAAAAAGAAAGCAGGCATCTCATTTATAATCAATATGTAGAGGTTCAAGTCCTAATTTCAACAGATTCTTAGGCAAAAAGATAACAATACCACACTAATTAATGTCACATAAGAGATTCTTAGGCAAAAAGATAAGCATTGCACAGTACCACACTAATTAATGTCACATAAGAGATTTTAAACTTCACAAGCTAATATCCTACCCAAAAAAAAAAAAAAGGAAAAGAAAAAGGGACTTCTTCTCTTCTCAGATTAAGTTGGTGATGCATGATGAAAGAAGAATATATTGCCCAAAAGGACATCAGTGTTCAGTTGACAAGAAAGGACATTAAGTAACCTCTAAGGGCAAGCTTGGATTGAAGATGATGCACTAATGGGCAATAGAAAGTGAGAAGAGGAGATTGTATGGAGGATGAAGTAGTGGAAGTGTGATGAGAAAGGAGGGAGGGGGAAAATATTACCCACATATTGAGGGTAATAATTATCCTAGGGTGATGGTGGGTAGCTATTACTCCGTACTCCCATTTTGAGGGTGATAATTCCTTTCATCCTTCCATATAACTCATAACAACATTACCTTATTCTCTCTACCACCAATCTTACCTTCATTTTCCTTGGTTTGACTTTCATTACCCCTTAATCCAAGCATGCCCTTAAAGGCGTTCACCATCTCTCTCTTTCTCAAGCCTCTCCTCTCCCCCTCCCCCCCCCCCCCCCCCCCCCCCACCCCTACAAAATAAAAAGAGGCCACACTTTATTAAGTTCTCAGTAATTAGTAAAGCTAACCAACAATAACTACGATGAACTAGCAGGTTAGGAATAGGATTTTCAAATCGTTCCATTCATTCAACCTAAAGATATTCATATACTACAACCACCCCTCTCTCTCTCTCTCTCAAATTGTTCCATTCATTCAACCTAAAATATTTATATACTACCACCCACTTCTCTCTCTCTCTCTCTCTCTCAAAACGTTCCATTCATTCAACCTAAAGATATTATATTTCTTTCTTCTTCTTCTTTTTTTTTTTTTTATTTTTTATTTTTTATTTTTTTTTTCTCCTTTTATTTTTTTTGTAAAGGAAGAGATTAGCGAAGGTGAACAAACAAATTAATTGAACACCACCAAAAAGGGGAAGAGTTAGGTTGCCGGTACATAAATTATTATACTTCCTCCGTTTTTTAAATATTGTATCACTTGCCTTTTAAGGAAGTTTCACAAATATTGCACCATATCCATTTTAGAAAAGAAAATATTTGTATTCACTCTACAAATACCTTATATACCCTTACCTTTAAACCCTTGATTTTTTAGTTTATGTTTCAATCACATGGACAATTTTGTACTTTTACCTTTCTCTCTCTTTCTTTTTCCCACTACCAAAAAATTTATGCCCAACCCTTATGGTGCAATATTAAAAAAACGGAGGAACTAACTAACTTGTTCATTTACCTTCTCTAATCTCTTTCTTAAAGTACGTGTCATGGGACATGTTGCATTTATGCAAAAAATGGAGGAAGTACATAGGAAGTGACAAAAGAAGTCTTTGAAATTATTATGATAAACCATATTTTACAAGATAAGGCAAAGTATGATTACCTTTCTTTTTTATATGGGGCTTATCATTGAGTTAACTTAAGATGATATTGACAAGGATTAGTTTATATGGTAAGGATCACATAACATGTTTAAATAAAGTCTCATCAGGTTGATTATTGTAGCTCATGATAAACACATAAGCTCTAGAATAAGGGATCTAAATGTATTTATATAATTAACAAAAAGTTGACCCGAGTTGACACATGACCTCACGTCTCATGCTCTTTTATGATATCTTCTGACTTTGGCACAATGCAGCCTGCCACCAATCTGTTAAATTCACATTCCAATCTTATATACTTGTCAAAGTCAACTCACCTTATATAACAAGAAGTAGATAGAATAAGATATAAATCAAAGTTGAATTAAATCAATTTGACATTAGAATCCTTATCAAGAAAAACTTGTAGATAAAAAGGTAAAAAACATGAAATAAATTTGAATCACAGAGAAGAGGGATCAACAGTGGATGCCCATTCATGCTTGGCTTGATTTTATCTTGTAAAATCTAGAATAGCAACTATACATAGGGTCTAGAATCCACAAGTTTACAAGTGTTTAGTGTTAAGAGATAATCAAATCTCCTTGTATATAGCTAGTAGTTATCCTCTTCCCTTATTTGTAGCTCTTATATTTAGCCTTTCTCAACCTTTCTTACGGTCAATTATATTTTTGGTAGTTAATGATTCTTAGCCACAATTGTAGGCATAATCCTTGATTATACCGTGGCCTTAGTTTCCTTTGGTAGGTTATTTGCTTTCTCTATATATAGTTGTAAATACTTACTTTGCTATATAATACAAAATGTATTCAAACTCTAATATGGTATCATGAGCTATTGATCCAACTTTTTTCCGCATCCGCTACTACCAAGGCTACACCATCAAAACCCTTTGTTGACACTGACAAATGATGGTGACTATATTCAACTTCCCTCTCGAATAGTTTCAAACCCAAATCAAACTTCCGCTCAAACCCTTTTGGCACCATGTAGTCTCTCAACCAAGGATAGCCAACTATCATTTTTTTCTCCAAACCCCTTACGGAGAAACAGATCCATAATGCGGCACCATGTAGTCTCTCTACCAAAGATAGCCAACTATCAAATTTTTTTTTTCTCCACACCCCTTACGGAGAAACAAAACCATTTTCGACAACCCGTAGTTTATCTACCTAGTGTTGTCGAGCATAAACTTATTTTTCCAAACTCTTATGGAGAAACCCACCCACTACTCTTTTTTTTCAAAAAAAAAAATAAAAATAAAAAAGAAGTCATTATCAACATTTTCTTATTACAACCACAAATCATCTTTCAATATTGGACTTTCCCTTCGGTCGTCCATGTTGCGGGGGCACATTTTCGACAATGACCAGCTTGCGGACGCCATTACTAAACCTCTTGCTATCTCCCGGTTTAACAACTTGTATTCCAAGATTGGCCTCGTCTCTCGACCGTCCATCTTGCGGGGGAATGTTAAGAGATAATCAAATCTCCTTGTATATAGCTAGTAGTTATCCTCTTCCCTATTTGTAGCTCTTATATTTAGCCTTTCTTGACCTTTCTTACGGTCAATTATATTTTTGGTAGTTAATGATTCTTAGCCACGATTGTAGGCATAATCCTTGATTATACCGTGGCCTTAGTTTCCTTTGGTAGGTTATTTGCTTTCTCTATATATAGTTGTAAATACTTACTTTGCTATTCAATACAAAATGTATTCAAACTCTAATATTTAGCATGTCACAGGTCTTGGTTGCTAATTTATCAAACCCCAGTCCCCAATAATTTAGATATAGGTTTTGTTCGAGAGAACTATAAAGGTCTTGTCAAAAAAAAAAAAAAAAAAAAGAAAAAAAAAAGAGAGAACTATAAAGGTATGTAGAACTCAAGCCATATGTCAAGCACATACATATCACTATGATCTTCAATATACCTCAACAAGATATCAAGTAAACCTAACAATCCAGCTAAACAGTCAAATTTGAGTCCGGTGAAACTAACAGAGTTACAGATTTACCATAAAACACTTATAATATTAGTAAATTTGAGCATCTCAAAAGCTGCAGCTTAAAATAGTTTGAAAAAAAATGAAATAAAAATATCAGTCAAAGATATACATTGGAAACCGCATAAGAACTTGGAAACATGAAGGATGAAGGTTTATTGTGCCAAAGACGGTGAAGGCAAAGATAATAAGTAAAAGATAATGTTTTACTTGTAATTGCTGAACGTGATGCACGGTCTTCGACTTCTATAGCAACCTGAACAAGCCCACCTTCTAACTGTGATATGCATGGCGGCACAGGAGCATCCTGTATGCACAAGAATTTTATGCCACAAGTTAAGATAATAATTAAAATAATGATCAGCATCAAGCCATCACTATAATCTATATACAAGAATCAAGTATTCAACTAAGTTGAGAAAAGAATTCTTAGTGCATTACAGATCAATAAGATAAAAGATCAAACTCTGATTGCATAATGGCAAAGGAGTGCCCTATATGCACAAGTCCTATGCCACAAGATTTAAAATAAATAAATAAATAAATAAAAACCCAGCATCACATTATCACTATATGCAAGAATAAAACATTCGACCAAGTTGAGAAAAGTATTCTAAGTGCTTTATGATCAATCAGATAAATGATCAAACTGACAGCAGAAGTCATTCTCAGGACTCAGGAATGGGATAATTTACTTGTATTGTTGTTACATGATTGCCATATGTTGATATAGGCTCTATTTCTCAGTCATTCAGTTATCAGAGCACTTGAAGGGGGCAAAAAAATGTGGAACTGGAATTAATAGATCAATAGGTAAGGAGTGTAGCTCTAAAGGATATAAAACTGCCTTCATATCACTTATTACCTGTGGGTTTGTTTCAGCGGCAATAGTACTAAGAGCGCCATCAATTATGTATATGAAAGATGCATGCTCCAGCTCTTCTTCAGCTCTATAGCAAACAAAAAGGCCACAACCTAAACAATTCATTCTGTGCTGCTTTTCCAGCTTCCCTTCTCCTCTGGATAGAACAAAATACACAATAAACAAACACATAAATATATAAAAAAAAAGAAAAGGAGGATTAAATTCAAAGAGTAAACATGTTTAAAATAACACTCATTAATGTGGTAATGCAGATCAAGAGCATGATGCAGCATATTCTATGAATACACCTCTACTTCAATACAAAAGAAACCACTTTAGAGAATCAAGTGTAATACCCAACTACAAGTCTTGAGCACTTCTGAATTCAAGCAAGAAGTTGGTCCTAGATTTTGATCTTTAGGCAAATTAGGAATTGTGCCTTGAAATCTCATTCCTAGTAACATAATCACATCATCACTCAATGGCTCTAAAAAAGGTTGTACGGTTCTTACTTAGGTGAGGTAAGACTGTAAAAGGGGATAGAGGTATGCAGCCTTATAGCTACAATAACGGAGAGGTTGTTCAATTGCTACAAGGGTGTTAGATATCGAAGTGGTCTCAATTGCAATAAGGATCAAAAAACCATTTCGAGGGCAATGTCATCCCGATGCAATGACAGCTGAATAAATCTCAACCCATGATCCAAAACGCAATTCCATCTCCTACTACCTAGCATATAAGAAGTGTGTGCCATTTAATGAGCCATTTTGATTTATTCCATTGTACTCCAGTGAATCTGAGTGAGCTTGGTATAAAAAGGAAAGGCAATGATCAATCGCCATGGTTTTTCATTTAATGAATTATCTTCACATCTGATTTGAGCTATGAGCCATGTCCTTGTCCATAATTTTGGGAGGCTAAGATCAAGGAGAGGTGACAAGAATCACATTTCGAGGGTTGTAACTTTTTACATATGATATGAGTGCCTCTCTGTATTGTCAGTCCAACACTTATTTTAATGGAGCACACCAAAAGAAGACTCGATTGTATGTGTGAGACACTCAAATTTAAAAACATAGTATTTCCTGTCTCATATATTTTTGCACGCTTGCACTTGTCATGGAGATAATATAAACTAAACTTAGAAAATAAAAGTGCAGATAGTGATAGGAAAGTACAAGAGTGGCGTTGAAAAAAAAAGTCTGAGAAAGGTTACTTGAAAAGGCAAGAGTGTCAATACTTTGGAACAATCACACATTCATGTTTCGGATGTGGATACCAACTAGTTTAGTTGATCAAAGTCTTTGGGGCCTTAGGGGTGGTACCAAAGACCTAGGAACAAACACCGTCTACATCATTTTCCCTTTGTGGGTCTTTCAAAATTTATCCATATACTTTGCTATAAGGACCACAAATTTTATGAGCATAATTGAGACTTCAAATTATATAGGACAAAGACCATACATTAGCCCTTCTGCATAGGGTGTGATAAACAGTTTTCACTGCCACAAAGCATATCATCAGTATACTTGTATAGCGCCACATTTATATTAATCACAAAGTTGGACTTCAGAGATTCAAGATACATGCAGCAACCATTACTAGCAGTTTAAAGGCATTTAAGTTAGCTGTTACAATTGACTATGAGAGACTTGCATGCACACAGTGATCAATACTACACCCCAGATAATCACAGTTCAGGGAGCCAATAAATCACTTGATGGATCATCGTTTGGCAAATACTATTGGTTGAATATTTCATGCATCAAAACATGAGCATGAGGCATTTGATCGTAAGGGTTGGAAAAGGAAGAATTTTGTGGATGACTATACAAAATAATCATTTTTCGTTCATGTAACTGACCCCACTTATGGGATTAAGGCTTTGATTGATTGATTTATGCATCAAAACACTGATACTCATAGTACAATAGTAGACAAAATCCAAACAGTGGATTTCATAAGAACCAAAACTAAGGACACAATAATAAAAAGAAAACTCAATGTAGCTGCAGAAAACATCAACTGTACCTCTTTAGAAGAACCCTTCCTGCTTCATTGATGTTAAGCCTTGCCAGATGTTTCTTTTTGTCCAACACATATGCCTTGTCAGTTTTTCTCTTTGGCAATTTCTGCAACTGGGTATCTTAAAGAAAAATATTTTAGTAACAGATTAAAAACTATACATTAAATAATCCAACAATGGAAATAAAATCATTTAAAATTTTGTAAAGCCTATTCCTACAATGTGAAATTGAGCAACGACAGTATCAAAACTGAAAGTTGAAGACTTGAAGCCAATACAACACTCTCATGCTTCTCTAAGTAGCAATGTCTCACATACTACTAGTGATAACTGATAAGTGAGTTTAATACTTACTAGTATTCTAGTAAGGGTCATTTAGGATTAGAATTCTTGTATTTTAGGCCCTCTTAGACTCCTAATTGCAACTTTTCCCTCTTGTTGTGGTTTCCTTGGTATATTGTGTTTTGGAGGTGTTTCCCTGCATTACTGGTTTTCACGCAAGGAGACAACACAAGGAGGAATTCAAGGACGAGAAGCAATCCTGGGAGTATGAAAGGTCAAAGGAATGAAGCTGGAGGAATGGAAAAAGGCCAACAATCATCATCACCTCCTCTCACCTCAAGGAAGAAGGAAACAAGGAAGACCAAGGAAGGAAAGAAAGAGCTCACACCCAAGGAAGAAAACAGGGTGAGACCTGGAGAAGCAAAGAAAAAGAGGAACCAGGTGACGGTCATGTCAGCCTGTGCCAAAAGTCTTCTGCCAAAACCCTAGGACCGGCCGAATCACATGTGAAATTATAGTGTACCCTTCCAGTATGTCCAGTGGCACAAATGAATTTTTTGGAGCCCCCCCCCCCCTCTCCCTTCCCATCCCCAAACCCCCCCCCCCCACCTCACCTATAATATTTATGTATTTCTAAGGTTAAAAAAGGTTAAAAGGGTACTTCTTGTGAACTTAGACTATTTCTAACTGCACGTAATTCACTAAAGAGCATCCTGCCTTTAGTGGATTACTGAATCAAATCGTATACTGCTTATCACAATATGAGACCCTACAATAGCAAGCATTCATATTTCACAATGCCCGTTGTATCCCCGTAACAGAAGAGTTCCTGTCATAGACCCACCCAATACACCAAGGCCTCAAAAGCATCTGATTCATTTCACATATGCTTGTCATGGTGGGAAGGGTAGCATGGAAATTCCCTTAAAATTTGTTAGCATTTTGTCAGAATTGCCTTGGGTGAGAATGTGGAGTCATTCACAGAATGAAAGTGAATTAGTTACGGTAGGACATAAGGAAAGTAATATAAATAAGGGTGGGATTTTAGAGAGATCCACAAAAGTAATATCTCTTTCCTCTTTGGAAGAGTACCAGCCACACTAAGGTCAGGAGTTGTATTGCCCCAAATTGATGATATAATAGTGTCCATTAACACAACTAAACTATCAGTGATTCTGCTAAATACCTTCAGTTTTTCTTTCTTATCATATATTTTTTACACAGTTCTAGTCTATTTGAGTACCATGTCCTTCATGATCATCAAGAGTACTTTGTTTAGTGCATGACAAACACAAGTGACGTTACAGAACCTACTAGCTCCTACGTAGTGTCCATGGAGCCTCCAGCTTCATAAAGTCTTAATGTCATTATCTTAAAGTACCATTAATTGATTCAGCCCAGACCCCTTGCACAATAGTTCACTTAAGCTACATCAACCTACATGTCTGCACCCATTTGAGGTGGGAAATAAAAACTTGTCTCACAACAAAGAGATTTAAAGTTTTTACCACTTCCACAAAATTATATGACTTTAATACACAATCCATGATCCTCAATCTCTAAGAGATTATTCATTCACCGTTCATCCAACCACTCATGATAGTCCACTATAATAACTCATTCCTCAATGTGACATCTGTGTGGCACCCCTGAGTCCCTGACATAAATAGCACTCAAGACATCACTAATTGTAGATTCTAACGTCTAGGCTCAAGCTTTTCAATAGTTGAGCAACAATGGCTCTTGGTTCAAAATACTGAATACGAAGAATATTTTTAGTCATATCGATCACAATAACAATAGTAGACCCAAATAGAAGGGTCTTCAATTAAGATCATGGACATAGCTTTTTCTATTGCAGAAAAAAGCAACACACAAAGGCATGTGTTTTACCCTGCCTCAAAGACGGTGGGGGATGTCTCAAAGACAGTTGGTGCTGTCAACTTTCCTTATCTCTCTCTAAGCAGTAAGCACCATCCTGTGTACAAAAAAAATCGACATTGTTCACTCATAAAATCCTAAGTTTTCAATTTGTGAAATGACCGCTGACAAATCAACCACTATAAAACAACACAAAAATTCTGAATGTTGCATGTGATTTCAAATCTTGAACTAGAATCACAGTGATTGAATTACTACTTTTGGAATCAGAATTGCGGTTGAGGGGCTTTGAATCCCGAATTATAATGTCACAAGGAAATTTTCCGATCACACAATTGAAATGGGCATCAGCAACCCTAACGGATATTTGGGAGTTTATAATGAAGAGTTGGAAGAAGGCATATGCATTCAACAAAACAGTTTATAAAAGGATCTTGCTAACAAGTGCCCTGGGGCTTTGGATTAGCTGTTTAGAATATTTCCGAGGATCTTGATTTTGGCATGTATTTTAAATTTAGAATACATGCCAAAATCACGGGTTGATCGGTGTAATTAATGTTTATTTCAATTTAATAACTCTTCTTTTAGTCATCTTATCTAACGCCACAGGATGTTCGTTAGCTTGCCTTTGCTTTATAAAATTCAAGTTTCTAAACATATATATATATATATATAGAAAAAAAAAATTAAAAAAAAAAGGAATATTAGAAAAAGGAATAAAAGGATTATCCGCAACGGTTTGAGTAGCAAGATTTTTACTCAAAAGCAGCACACAAAAAACCAGGTGAACGTATCGATGTCATTAATTATATGTCTATAGACCATGATGGTGATTCCAAAGTCTAATTTCCATCAATTTGCATCATCTTAAATGCAATAATAACAAAGTACTACTCTAACAAGAATCAACATGGCACATCATAGATTAAATTGGGTTTAATGATTACTTACCACATATCATATGTTAAATTAGGTATCAAATATGCAATCACACAGTTAACACTGCCTCCATGAATTACAGCTTCAATTGATAATCACTAAATAACGATGCCAAATTGATGCAATCATTACCAATTACATGATACAACAATAAAAATGAGCATTCGATCACAAATTAGAAACCCTAAAAAGAGAGAGAGAAAGAGAGAGAACCAGTAATAAGGACATGAGAGCTGCAGTGCTTGCAGTAGTAGACGAAGAGCTCGGAGTCAGGGCCGTCAGGTATTGCATCTTCGCTCGAGTAGGTGTGCGTCGTCCTCTTCGGCATCTTCTCTCTCTTCAATGGCGACACTGCTCCCGTGCTCCGGCAACTGTCAAGCGGTCACAGATTTTCTTTCTTTTCAGATTTACCGCTTCGAAATTTGGGGTTCCAATAGGAGTGACTGGGTCGGGTTCGGTAGTAAGGTTGGGTCTAAGTTGGATAAATTATTGAAATCACATTAAAGGGGCATGTAACTAAGTTTTAGGACTCTATTTCATCCAAATAGAACCAAACAAGGTTTTGATGACACTTATTTTGCCCATTTTCTATATTTCTTATTAAATGAAGTAACTCTTTCTCATAATATGTCAATATTACATACCTTACCCATCACTGGTAACCCTGACCCCTACCGCCGGCTGCCCCCCTCCCTAACCCACCTCCACCACCGGTACCCCTAGCCTACCGCCAGCACCAGTGAAACCCACCCGAGCCAACCACTAGCACTACGCACCACCCCAGCCCAACCTTGAAACAACCAAGCCCCAGCCACCACTTAAAAACCGGTGGCCTAAACCCATTTGACCCATCCCGAAATCCACCCCTCTCTTACCCTTCATCCTCAAAACGGTCTAAATCGCCCATGGAAGGCCCTGAATGGTCAATTTCGATGGCCGATTCTGCCGTGTCAAGGATAAGGGAAATGGGGGTGGTTTTCGCGGTGGGCCGAAGGGGTTAGGGTGGTTTTCAAGGAGGGGGAAAAAGGGGAAGGGGTGGAATCGCCGGTTTTAGGGGTGGTGGTTGGGCTAGTTTCGACGATCAAGGTGGGGTAAGGGGTGGGGTTGGGTTGTCGGCGATGGGGGTTAGAGTTGACAGTGGTGGTGCTAGGTTAGAGTTTAGGGTTTTTTTTTTGTTAATTAATTTACCTTTTTCTTTTTATTTATTTATTTATTAAACCAATGCATTATTGACACGTGTACGTAGTGGTTCCCACTTAATAACGAATTCCACCCAAAAATCCGCTAAGTGGTGGTAAAATCTAAGTTTTGGGGTTTTTTTTTTGTGTGGTGTTATATGATATGTTTTGGATTTTGTGGTGTTATAATCAATTTTTTGACAATTTTGTGGTGTTATAAAGATACTAAGGTTTAATTAAACCAGTTTTAAGTCCTTGCAATGACAGGTTACAGTCGTATCACCTAATCAAAAGAATTACCTAAGTCCTCTAACTAAAGTAGATAGGGAAGTAGGGTCGAATCCACAGGGAAACAAAGTCTTTCTATTCCTAAATAATCAATATGATCTAAACTATCAAGTAATCAAGATATTTTTATGAGAATTAAACTAAGGGAAAATAAATAGCTAATGCGAATAAAAATAAGGAGAAATCAATAAATCAAAGCCTGGGGTATAGGTTCACCAATAAATAATATTGCAGGGTAAAACACGATAATCAATCATCAATGCGTCAATCAATCATATCATAAAGGGCTTTTGCTACGTATTACAATCACAGAATTAATTTAGCGGTATTAAATCACATCTCTCGAATCTTGACTTAACCATTTATAAATTAACCTGCCTATTGAAACTAAGCCTAAACATCAATTCTCATATTTCGAATCTCGAATCAATATTGCATAACTCATACAATTAAACTTGGCCAAATCTAATTGCATAGCATTAAATCAATCAATAGGAAATCAATCAAGCATTGACAATCAACAATAATAAATTACCCTTTCATATTATTTATGGATCCCCACAAACCCTAGAAATAAACTACTCTCACAAATTGAAATATAAACTAAGCAAATCAATAAAACTAGACATGATTAAACAAGCAATTAAATTACTGAAAATAAAGGGGAAAGACATCGTTACCAAAATAAATGAAAATATTGAATTGCATAAACCAAAAGAGTTGAGAGAACAAGAGTATTAATCAAAAGCTTAAAATTAAAATCTGGAAATCAACTAATGAATGACGTAATTGTTTCGCTTAACAAAAGCGTATTTATACTAAGCTAAGAAATCCTAAACTAAAACAAAGATTAAAGTCGCAAAACATCCCTCAGAAACACGCACCCGGTCAGGCGCCATCTCGCCCGGCCTGGCCCGCTTTCGGCTGCTAGAACTCCTCTCTTCACGCCCGGCCGGGCGCGCCTCAGGGCGAGGGACAATTCTTCCTTTCTGCCTCGCCTGGTCGGGCGTGCCTCAGGGCGAGGGAATCCCCGGTCGGGCGAGTATCCGGGCCATAATGGAGTCTTCGATTGGGCTATTTTCTTGGCCCAATTTGGATTTCCTCTTTGGGTCTTTATAGCTCGGTCCATTGCCTCGGAGCCCTTAATCACCGGTTTGATTACTCCAACGCAGTCTTGGGCTACAGAATGTGGTTATATAAATGCGATCCTACTCCAATGCTCGTAGTGGCTCAAATAAGTCCGGGAAAATGCTCCAAATCTACAATTTCCTATAAAACAATATCAAAGTTACGAAAACACTAGAAAACGCATATTACTAATAAAAGTAGCTCCATAGAGCCAGAAATACTCCTAAATATGACCAAGGGATTGGGGTAAATCACTATATAAATAGACATATCATGCAACGCACAGATTTAATTAATATTTAATTTTCTTAAAGAGCAAAACGGGATGCAAATTAAGCTCAATAACAAATAATGATCTTTAATTTTAACTTCACGTTTTAAAATTGATTTAATTCCATTGGAAGAATCAACTAATATATTTAAAGCGTAAATGAAACATTATAGTCCAAAGAGAATGAACAAATTTAGGCCAAATTATACACTCAGTATCTATATATGGTATTTAATTTAATTTTTATTTTTTTATTTTTTATTTTATAGAATGTAGGTAACCTTGTAAAGAAACACATTATAATACACATCATACTACTTAACTATTCTGCCTAATTTTAATATTCCATCTTTATATGAAATAATAATCACTAATATCTCTTATCACAGTAATAAAAATTATATTATCCATAATGCCATTAATATAGACTTTACAATGAAAGTTATATCATGTCAATTCTATTTCTTTCATATTTCATCACTTCATCTTGGCATAATTTCTGTTGACATTTGTGCATATAGTTGAGGAGGCAATTGGGCATGGTACTCTACAGATCACATATGTAAAAAAAGATATAGTTAGAGTGAAATAAAAAGTGTTGAAAAAATATAGCAAAATTAACCCCAATAATACTTTTCATTAGAAACGTGTTGTCAATTCAATATTTTGCATACTCCGTATTTTTCTTTATCGTCCATAGCCCTTCAAATTCATGTAAGACAATTTTTATTGAAAGTAAGCATACTTGTATAAGGTAGCATGTTGAACATTTTGGGGAACTAATGGAATTTATTCACCCAGTTAATAAAAGATTTTGACATTTACATGTTGTGTCAAATTGTAAATAAAATTTTATCCACATGAAAAACAAACACCAAATTAAAATAAAATTTTATCCACATGAAAAACAAACACCAAATTAAAGCAAACTTTAGCTTTGATAGCAATAAGATCTTAATGCGTATAATCAAAATAAAGATTTTAAAATTAGTTATCTCTTGAATTCTTCTTCGTATAATCCAAACATAAAAGTAAACCAAAAAACTATACATCTATACATATAAATAATGTTTTGCTCATGTTTGAACTTTCTTTTCCAGATTATCCATCACTTTTTTCAACTATCACTTGCCTTGTTGCCTCCTGTGGACTGGGTAGTAATATGTTAAATGAGAATTTAACAAAATGCTTCAAAGTGTTAAGTAGTAATATAAAATGGGCAAATTAGGGTTTACTTTATACCACGCAACAAAATCTAAAGTCCGTTGATCTATCAATCATGCACTATTAAGAATTTCACAAATCCCTCAAGTACAAATGTACAATGTGGTATTGAAAACAATCCAAGAACCTGTACTGTGTTCCTAGATAAATGATTGATAATTGAGAACAAAATATGTTTTAGTATTTCCAATATTTTGGATTTTCCCAACAAAGGAATTGGATAAAATATCCTTATGTAATTACTGTAAAAAAACGCATCATAAAATGAAATATGCACTCTTACTATGAGGAAATGATATACCTGAGTCATATCCACTAACATTATGCAATACAGATACTATAAATCAAATTCCATAACAAGAACAAACAAAAAATTAAAATTGCACAAACTTGTAATTCCATCAGTCTAGTTGAAAGCCAAGGATAATTGACAAAATGATGAAATCACTCTTTGGAAATAACTAGTTGTCGGCCCGCGCGCGGGTCCCTCAATTTGGTGATACATGCTCAGTAATTAATTAATGTGTAATTAGTCGATGCTATATGCGCAGATTATTTCTAATGCTTTATTGGTAACGAAGTTAGGTATAGTTGTTAGCGTTGATCGAAGTTGAAATCTGATGGAATAGATTAGTCATTTAAGGAATTAATGTAATATATGGTTGTGTTGATCGAAGTTGAAATCTGATCTTAATTTGTTATTATATTGTAAATTGTTTGATTATCTATTGATTTAGCACTTGTAAACATTTGTGATAATTATTGTTTATTGTTTAATTCCTTTACATGTGATTGGTAAAGTAACTTCAACAAATTACTCATGACTTGTGTTAGTAATTTTTAGAAGTTAGTGTCCCTTCAATTTCATGAAATTAGACGGTATGATGATTGTGGTTAGGTTAATGATATGTAAATTATAATCTTTGAGGTTTTTAATAGAAATTAGTAACTTATATTTGTTTTTATGTTGTTATATTTATTGTGTGAAAATATTGCATTTGTTAGAATCTATTTCTTTTTGAATTAGTAACTTATATTTGTTATATTTAATGTGAATCAGTAGCTTGTAATTTCAATTTTGTTAGGTGTTGTTAGAATTCTAAGACAGTTTGTAAACTGATATAAATAATGTATGTGACAATTGTTGTTTATTTTGTTGGTCTTTTTTTAAAAAGCAAATACATTTTTTAAAAAGTAATTAAGTTTATCCATGTGTGTCTATTTTTAAAAGACATTTTGCCCTTGATTTTTTTTTTCATATATAATAGATGAGTTCCTATTGCATTTCTAATTTGTCCGCTATTTGGGCTCACGAATGGTTTACTAAATTTTAAAGTAATCCGACCTAAATCAAAGTGACTTGATCAAAAATCGAATGGTGGATATTATTTGAGTAAGTAAAATATTATTTTTTAAATTTAGGACAAATTTTAAGTAACATGTTGTGTTCTAAACTTGTAATCTATAATTGTCATTAGTATATTATTTATTTTAGGTGTTATATATAAAAAGTGTCTGCTTTATTATTAATGTTTTCTATTTTTTATTTTTGGTGTTATATATAAAAAGAGTCTACACTTAATGTATAGCAATTGTTATTTTTAATT